CATAATACTGAAAGCATATGAGTAAGGAGACGATTGCAAGCAGGTTGCTTGTGCAGTGAATGTGAACGTGAGAACTTGCCGTAACTGGATACGGGGTGTACGAATCCGCGAAACAGCTAGAGCAGCAGGTGGGAGTCCGTCGGTGAGCACTGAGAGAAAGCCACGTCGACTCTCTAGTGGAGTGGGTTTCTGCATAGTCAACCGTTGTCCTTGAAGTACTTCGTTTGCGGTTGAGTTCGAAATTGCGGTAAGCAGCAGAACCGTCCCAAGGTATTTGGACGGTAGACTGATAACGATGAAGAAGATACACACCATTCCGGAGTCCATGAACATTCAGCAGAATAAAAAGCATCGCCGATCGTTCTGCTTGCAGCTCATGAGTTACGAGCTGGAAGGAAAGCAACCGGTGTGGATCGATGAGACCAACTTCATCCTATTTTGCACTCGCACTCGTGGTCGGTCACGACGTGGCAGTCGAGCGCAGTGCACGGTAGTGAACAGCCGGGGACCGAATATCCATATTGTCGGTGCTGTGACAAACAGCGGCTTGATAGCACGCTCGGTTTTGAGAGGAGGCTACAACAAGCAAAGATGCGTCCGGTGGCTACGACAAATACTTGCTACCAACGGAGCAGCGTTTATGGAGTGTTGCTTTTTGGTTGGCGTCAACGCGGCCTATCACACTCACCTGGAGCACGTTTTCTTGGAGGAACGTTACCGCTCTGGGAGACCACTAATTCTTGCACCATACTCTCCATCACCTAACCCCATCGAGGGCATCTGGAGCACAATAAAGGCTCATGTAAATCAAGCAATAAGGCGACGGTATTTCGAAATGCTCCATGAAGACTCTGAAGGCGTTCTACATAAAAGCGGGTGGCGGATTCGTTCTCTAGAGCACGCGGTGTCAGATCAAGGGCCATAATGTCGTAGTAACATGCGAACAAATGGTTCAGCATGTCAGAAGGAATTATGAACGTGTTGTTCATTTGCCTGATCTGTAAAACATTTCTCTATCAGCAAACTACCAGTTTGTAAATGAGTGTTATACTTACTTTATTGTGTTATTGGGTCAGAGTACACCTTATACGCTGCTAAAAGTAACCAATTCTCTATTTGGCAGAACATTGTGGAGCTCAGGAAAAGTAGTGCCTGTGCTCCCGTCGTATACCCGTTTTCGTTGCCGTGCTGTAGAACAACCGTGCGAGAGCCTGAGAAATCGGTGCATACCCTAACACCGTTGCATGGCCAGCAATTATGATTGATCGGATGTCGTTGTTTATGTTTGGATAGCCAGTGGATAAAGACTTTGATGAGAACATAACAAATAATTAAAATGAACTATGCAGTCTTGACCGCTATGAGTAGAGGGTGTGGTCGTTGACCGATTGCTTAGCCCGTTAAACCAACGCAGGCGGCTGGACGCTGCTTGACCTCGTGCGAGGATGATCAACGCGGAAACCCGGAGCACGTAGGGAAGGCATAAGTAACGTTTACCACGATTATTAGGGAAATATTTCTGGATGGGTATCTGTCAGTTGCTGACTGTATTCGGACACACCACGGGGTTACTGTGAAAAGGTGCATTAACGCGGCAAATCACATTTACTCGTCAGGTCGTAGCGCCTGCACAGGTGATGAATGGTTCCGCATGACGCAAACCGGTCCTTACGTTCACATACCAATTGCCAAATCACTGATATATTAGCAGACGGAAGTTGCTATTTCGCTCCATCCCATTTCTACGTGGGTAAATGATGCGTTTCGCAGTAAGTACAGTTCCGACTAGCGTGCATGTAGCAGTACGGTACAACTGCAACGACATCTACCATTCCTCCTAGTGGGCATGTTTTTTCCAATTTAGGTGTTTCCGCCCCGTTCCGGTGGACAGCACGCTGTGATATGCTCAGGAAGTAAGCGGTTCGGGGGTGAATGCAGTCATGCCTATTCAATAGCCGGGTATTTGGCACATAAAAGGCCTTCATGCTAACGCTGGTTGGGGCGTTCATAACTCCGGAGGTCTCACTGAGGAGAGTCAGTGCGCCGCAAAATACACAGCCAACCGCTAGACAAATAGTCAAAACCAGTTACCGTATGCAATCTCAAATCGTCAGCCTACAGAGATGAAGTACCCTATAATAACTGCTTTGTGTGCCTATGTTGCTGAGTTGATGGTTGGTACGATTAGAAACAGGTGTAATGCCATCCACGTAATGGTAGGAACTTGTACTAAAGCAAACACGCCAACACCCATACCGCGCCACCCCGATTCCGTGCACATACGTCAACCTCGACTACTTCCGGTAACACTGTTCCCTTACTCGATGGACGCGTAAACTGGATATTTCCTAGTGAGTCCGCTCTGCGCAAGCACACATCCTATGCCCATAAACATCAGAGTTTGCACCCTCCCGCTCTCTGTGGGAACTAACACTGGATGCCTCGATCATCGCAGAACGGCCACGTTGCAATTCACATCGCTCACTGCGCGCTGCACCAGAGCGTGACACGTTTTGTCGTTTCGGTACCCATCGAGTACATTATCGTTCAATGCAACCCACATACGCAGTGTCATATGTTACCACATGCGATGTACTAGAAGTGGTAGGTTGCTGCACCAGCCCTGATGATCCCCTTAGTTGGCCGGCCACCACGACTCCAGTAAGCCTCATGTCACCCAACCGAGTTTCAATCGTTGGCACAGTCCTTGGGGATGGAATTTTCGGCACTACAGTTTGGCCACCGTTGTTGTGTAGATGCGCATCATGACCACTACGGTTTGCAACAACTAAGATTTGTCCATGCTTGAACACGGGCACCTGGGAAGTGCTGTTCATGCCTGGTTGAAGAGATAAGTGAGTAAATAGCTGAAGCATATCCACTACTGATGGCACATTCTGGTGATGTATCGGAGTGCCTAAATCATAGCTCCTAAGTCGGACGGACTAGGTCCCTCACACAGCGAACAAATTTTTCTCCGGGTTTGCCAACCATAGAACTCTCTCTCCTAAACTTAGTTGTTTCCTCCCCCACCTTGGATATTCTCAAAAAATAATCGGATCTTGCCCTTGGCCTCCATTACTTGGTTGCCTAAACTGTGCTACGTTGGAATATATTAGGCATCCCTTCAAGCCGGACTAATGTCACATAAGCCGGAGAAGGAGGTACAAAAGTGAGTATTTGCGTTTCTACTTTTCTCACGGAGTACATCAACTAAAATTGCCACCATGTTGCCTCGTAGTTCGCATTGGATTCCCACTTTCACTAATATTATTCAGCGGTGTATCTGCTCGAGACATGCTCAAACAAACAACTCATATATCTTTTGCCATCGTAGTTTTACCTCAACCACTCAACGGAACTTGTCAAGCAACTGCTTTTTATCCGGCATAAATAAATAAATAAATAATAAAAATTGTTCATTGACTGTTCATCGGCCGCCTAGGATTGTAGTGTGTATTAAAACCACGTTCGCGGAGCTCAATGACTAGTGATTATCACGACGGCCTTCAAGCATTATGCGCCGAGATCCACTCCAAGCTCGGCTATCTCTATCTGATGAGTCCAGATCAGGACGAAACCGTCGGTCGTGGAGTGCAGAGATGAAAGAGAGCCACACCGAGTCCCTCCACGCTTAGTTTGTTAAAGGCTGACAGTGGTCAGCTGATATCGCGGTAAAGGAAAATGATATACTTCGTCGAGACAAGAAAGGGCCTGTATATGCACCTTTCGAAGATTGGTACCCTGGTATCGGGTACAGCGGCGTCCGGACCCCCTGACGATTATAGAGCGTTCACGAAATCAGTGATGCTGTTGTTTACGACCTCCCATTTCCAACTGGTAGACATTTATATCTTTCAATTTTTCCACCATCATTAGAACAATATTTGAGTCTTTCCGATCACTGCATGATCGATGAACAATTAGCGTCCTGGAAAATATCGGATGCGTTTGTGCTGTGGCTTGCTTGACCATCAGTCCACTTACTGATGTGTTACTCACGGCGTCATGTGCCATGTAGGTGACAACTGTTTCGTCTGTGAGTGATGACTGCGTTTTTCGGCTCACGTCTACCGGTGTCGATTAATCTGGACAGGGCGTCTGCTTGCCCAGTAGAATCATTTGACAAATATAGCATGGTGAAATCATATTCCGAGAGCAGAGTCGCCCATCTCTGAAGCCGAATGGTCGTATACACCGGAATACCCTTTGGGATCCAAAAATTACCGTAAGCGGCTTATGATCGGTTACCAGCGTGAACCGTCGACGGTAAATCGTCTTGTGGAATTTCTGAACGGCAAAGATGATAGCCAATGCTTTAGGTATGCTCTGACGAGTCTCAAAACAAGAATTCGTCGTGTGAGACCCGACGTTCCAATCGGTAAGAACCTACTTTTGCACAACAATATTCGATCACACAAGCATCTGGGCAAGAGAAACAATCGCCGCATTCGAGTGGACAGCTTTGCTACATTCCTTATACTCATCAGACTTAGCGCCCTCAGACTATCATATCTGGCTCTCATGAAAGAGGGGTGTAAGAGGCAAACATTATTCTACTGACGAGGAAGTGAACATTGCAGTGAAGAAGTGGTTCAAAGAACAGTCAATGAAATTCTACGAGCCAGGGATACATGCTCTCATTCGAAGTTGGAACGTTGTTATTGCGAGAAACAGTGACTGTGTTGAGAAGTAGGAGTGTGATCAACAAAGGACCGGCTTCACTTTGATGTATGCCACATGTTCCTGTGTTGATAACTATACATGTCCTAAAGAAGATGGCGTTAATTTATGACACACCCTGGTATAAGTAAATAATAAATGAATATGGTTTAAACACCGGTTTCATGATTTTGAGCGCAACCTCCAAACTCACCTGGCCTTTCCCCCACAATTAGCATGCCATAGTGATACAATGTGCGTTAGTCCGGCCGACAAACTCGTGTATTCCATGCTCATATATACCACTGTCGCTTTCGTTGTCTCCTTTTCTACCACAGATGGCAGAATGGCTTAAGGGCTTCGTTGAATCGACCGACTGTGTGACGGAGCCAATACCTATGCTCTGATGGGACGCGGTTCTTCACAATTTCCGCCAGGTGAAGAAACGAAATAATGTCGATCGCAAATGGCACTAACATCAATTATCTCCCAACGTCCCAGATATTTTCATTTCTAAATTCAGCATGCAAGGGTTCCATATTCGTTAACCAATCATGCATCAAATTCCTTTACTACAAAAAAATGAAGCCCAGCATGCGTGCCAGCAAGTGCTAAAATTTCACGGTGTCTGATAGCAATAATAATAATAAAATTAATAATAATAATGTATATTCTTGATCATGCCAAGCAAGATGGTTTTCGTTATGATCGAGTTTGTAAATTGCTAGCTACCTTGTTCACCGCAGACGGATTGGGAAAATGTAAATCGGTTCCTCGCGAATAAGGAAACCTAAAAGAACTGCATTTCTGTCACCATTGCGCCCTCATATTACATTGCATTCCGGAGGTAAGAACTGATTTATAATGGATCAGTACAGTATGCGCATGGGGAACATTTGCAGAAGCAGAATAGTCGGTCAGCAATTGGCCACTGGGTGAATGAATTGTGCATCTTTTTCCACAAAACCAATGAACTCAAACCCTCGGGTAGTTAGAGCTATACCGAATCAAAACTCGAATCTTAGCTCGATAGGAAGCGTACAAACCAAACGGTAGACAGTCAACGTTCAGTCATATGGACGTGCAAATTTGAGTTCCCACTACGTCGTTGCACATGATAAGTAATAATTTAACTGAGAATCGAACAAACTGACATTACAAAACACTCTTTAATCGAGAAACATAGTCATCCTCAGAAAGGTGTAATATTATGTTAAACTGTATTGACAGAAGCGTTTTGTTCTCAACAATGCGAGACATGACTGTTTCGGCACGAACACGGAAACACAAATCAACGATAAAAGGGGGATCAGGAAAACACAAACACAGTTTTGTTATTGTCCTATGGAAGGACACGAGTGGTACATTAAAGAGATGGAATGCATTGTTCCTTTCCAGATAGGATGCGATGAATCTTCGCACGACGTGTATGACAAATACATGTGTCGGTTATAGTCATCCTTATTGGTAGTAGCGCGGCGTGTAACCATGCCACGGCTGTTAGAGTACATGAGATTTTCGTAAGGTGCAAAGGTGAGTGATTGGATTACTGTGCAAAAAGGAAAAAATTAATTTCTATAACAGAAATGACAATGTCCCTACCCTATATAATTCACTCCACTGATCGTAGAAATTTATTTCTAGGTTGCTTAGCACGTTAGGTTACATTGTTACAACCCAATGATCATTTTCAATAATGTCCAAGCTAGATCATACGAATTAAAGGTACTGAAGCACAGTATGCACCTATGTGGCAAATACGTTTAAAAGATCACTGGTACACTCGCCCCTAACCACTGACTGTAGCTTGACACTGGGAAATGATGACGTCGCCGAAATCGTCTCTTGTATGATCCGGTGCTCTCAAGCTACAGAACCCGCTGAAAGTCACCCATCATGGATGGCATGTACTGTGCTGCTCCATGACTGAAATGTCTTGGTGAAAGCGCTCACCATGTTCATTGTTAACAGCCCCCAAGTTCCCAGGAAAAAAGCGGTGATTATGTAAAAAGTGAATCTTGAGTGACATTCGAGCATCAACAGCCTGTAATGTGTTTTTATAATGACTTTGCAGTTCTCTGTTTTTGCTCTACCCAAAAATCCCGTATACCCTGCCTTGAATGACCGCCACGCTTCTAACTCAAATGAAGTCAACTGGCATTCGGAAGCATCGTCTGCCATTATCCGGCGAATTCAACGCCCAATAAGTATCCCTTCTTTGAGTTTCGCGTCACCGATCTTCGGAAACATTTGTTTCAGGTACTGGAACGCAAAACCATCTCCCTTGAGGGCTTTGACGAAGTTTTTATCAAACCAAGTTTGAGATGCAGTGATGGAAGATAGATATGATCAGTTTGCCCTAGAGGTGTACACTAATTTCCCCTCTGGCCATGTTTCGGTTGTATGGTGTTGCTGAGTTGTTTTATTGTCCCATAAGTACAAGAAACAGCAATATCTTGTGAAGCTCCTTGCATACCCATTTGGAGTCAGCACAGATGTTCCTACAGTACTTGTCGTAGTTCAATACAGTGACTATCGCTTGTATACTTGCGTAACTTTCCTTCATATTGGTGGCACGCAACAGATGCACAGTTGGGTACACAATTCCACTGTGGAGCAGTATGGCATTATAAGTACTGTTGGACGAATCAATGAACAAACGCCATTCATCACTGATATGCTTCATGCCAAGCTCCTTCATCAGTCCTTTCGCGTCGGAACAGCAACAAAAGATTCCTCTCGTGTCATACGAGCTGAACAATTTAACACTTCGCTTTCGGTATCCAGTTACCTCAGTGTTTGCAGCAATTAAGTGCCATTGCCGCAGCCGAGATGCCAACAACTCGGCCTTGTCTTTCAGCAAGACTAGGTCAAGTACATAGTCATTCAACTCTGATTGTTCAATAAGATGTGGGTTGACATCATCAGCTCCAAAGTTTTCACAGATGCCAGAATCAAGTGACACTGGAATGGGTAAGGTGCAATGATGTGGAGCAAGTCGAATAGCTGACGGAAGATTTGGATAATGAATTTTGTCCTTGTTTCGGTTGGAGAATCAAATGACACTAGTTAGGCTCCCTCAACATCATGGGGATTGCAAAAGGCATCTTGCGTTTGCTCCTGAGTCAGACGAAGATTGCACGACACAAAAAATTAAGTGGTGCCCACTTTTTATCCTGATCTCCAAGTTTCATCCCGAAATATGCGTGGCAGGCAGACTTCAGTAGTGAAGAAATGGGTCTGCACTGCAACTTTGTAGTAGACCGTCCATAGACGTAACAAAAAGGATTTCAGTCATTGACGTAACAGCATGTTTGAGCCATGATCAAGATATCAGTTAAGGAAACACAACTCTCAGTCGGCTATGAGTATCAGGTGGACACTAAGGCCAAGATCACTTATACGCTTACAGGGAACCAATGGATCAATCACAGGTGAGCACTCGATGCATGGAACACACTGCTTAGCAGAAAAAATAGAAAAATAAACATAAATCCGACGTGATAAAAACATTTGGTTTGCACATTTGTAATCAGCGCATTGGGTACTACTAGCAACACCCTACGTTATTTCAGTTATAAAAATGATGTTGAACAGTGTTACTAGTTGGTCCGCTGGGAAGGCATTTTTGTCAGCAAGCTTATGCTTGGAAATATTACCCAATAAAGAGGTGGGTATCGCAAACATATCAAGGAAGCGACAGACAACAAAATTTTTACCTGATTAAGGCCAAATTCAGATGTTCAAGCCACAAAGTAATTCGGTCCAAAAGACAGTAAATTGGTGATAAACTAGAGAAGGTAAACTTCGAGTATTACGCTTGCAAATATTTGGTATGCTCCTCACTTGTTGAAAGGTCTATTCTCCATCGATGCACAATTAAAGTGTATCGGTGGGCCTGAAATATGCTTTTTCAGAATTTCGATAAATTGTAACACGAGAATGAGTACCACAGTAAACTATTTGAGTCCTTGAGTGACCGGCGGTAGTCTACCTAAGATCCCAGAGAGAGAGAGAGAGAGTACAAGTGCTATAACACCTTATGGCAAAGGCGGATCGCACTCAGTAGCCTGTTTGGCGCCCAAAGGTTAATCTAGAACTGGATATGAAGGAAACGCACACAGCGAAGATTAAAAGGCACAATAACCGAGTATGAAGCGCATACGAGCTATCTAGAGGTGGTAGGCTATAGCCAAGAGTACGCCGCTTTTCATGATCCCCAGTATATATTTACCAGTAAAATTTTCCTGTAACTAGGAAATGTATTTCCCTCGAATTCCGAAGACATCAGGACAATGCGTTGTCGGGTCAGATGATGACTGGCCAGCAGTGCCGTGCTGTTAATTTCTGCAGCCAGCGCTCGACCGTACTTCCCGATTCTAAATCGAAGGAGGCGGACATCCACAAACTCCGAATCACCCACAATATGTCCGGAAATATGTCTGGTCAAGACTAGACAGCACAACAACGCGCAAACCTCTTTGTTCAATAGTGTTTCCACTACAAATGCAGAAACTGGTATTCATTTTTGTTAAGAGTTGTGAAGTTGCGTGAAATAAACATGGAGCTTCCTATGGGCAAAGAATCGTCACTGAATTATGATACCTGTACCAAATAACCAGGAGCCATTAATGAAACTAACGGTAGTGAGAACACGAACGACCAAGGACAAGAATTATTTTAAATAAAGAAAATACTTCGTTATATAGTATGACGCACAAGCCAACAAGAGTGCGGAAAAGTAAAGCCGATAAAGAATGAACAAATAAGGAACCAATCAGGTGCACATAAAGAACGGAAAGTGAGGGCGTTAGCGTCAGAGTAGAGTTGTGAGCTGAAGGCAAAAATAGCGACTCCAAATAGCCAATAAGGATAGCGAAATGATACGTTAAAACAAACACCAGAGCAAAACGAAAGTCTGCAGTCATGAAAGGTAACACACACATAACTATATTTGTACTGCCCCTCTAACAGGGACAAAAACGCGATCGGCCGATCCGAAAGCGTGCGACGATGATCTAGCACCTGCCAAGTGAAAATCCGATTTATGCGGTTCTGTTCTAGTTGAAACTCAGTCCTCATGTAATTTGCTCTGAATTCCCGTCCCACAGCGGTGAATTAGTGGCCCTTCCAATGCCGCCAAGCCCGTAACCGTGGTGGATGCAGACTCCAGCCGCTGTAAATGGTTATGGACTTGAAAGTAAGTACGAACTTTCCACTCACCTGAGCAACATCATTCATTCATTTATCATACATGTTAGCTGCAGGTGGAAAACACCTCAGCTATTGAGCTACTGTCTTTCCTCAAACAATTTCCTGAGTGGCATCAACAGTACGCCGTACCGACGCTTCGCTGGCGTGCAACCACTACCGGTCGCAGGTGGGCTAAGGATACTGCGAGGGTTACCCTGCCCCTACGCAGGATCGAACCCGCGCCGTCCGACTGCAAGACAAGGTTGTTATTTCTAGGCTACGGGCCGGCGCCTGATCATGCAAGAGGTATGGACGACCAAATTGGGCACTTAGCAACTGGCCCCAGCAGCAGTAGGTAGGAACGTGCCACGTTCGTGGTTGAAGACTCACTTGAAATAGCGAGACCGCAGGAGGCAACCGCAAATAAGCGACGTTTAGCTCTGCTTCGGGTGTGTGCACTTTCGGGGGTCAAAACGAGTTATTACAGTCTGATCCGCGGTGATCAAGTCGATCCATCCACATGAAACCAATAGCGATGGAAAAAGCTACATGAGGTTACTCAGAAATTTACGCGAGAATAGCAGCTTCTAATTTCGGTGTCTGCATGCAAATGCCACCTGTAGTTATATGCCATGGGGTGCGCACAGTGAAGATAGCCAAGAGGACCGAGTAAAGTGAATTGTGATAGCAGGGTACAAACGGGCCCTGAATACTGGTCGTAAAATTACGGCTGTACAGCAGCCGTCGTTAAGCTGCGGGCGGCAGGAGTGTAAAAGAGACAGACGAATACGTAGGAAGATAGCTACAGTGTGATGAAGCTTGGTATGATACCCAACTGGGACACTACTGGGGCAGCTGGACCTGAGTAGATGAATAACTATTTCCAAAAAGCAGGCCACCAGATAGAGGAAAACGGCAATAGTTCTCAAGCTGGGAATTCACTTTAGTTTCCATCCCAACCCCGAGGGATCGATTGACCCACTCAAGATGCACAAGTTCGTAAGTACTCTAAGGCGCCAAAGACGGTTTCTGGGGGCATAATCAAAGAAGTATCACTACCATTCGCCAAGTTAAAGAAGAAATTATGATGGCTTGTTCACTAACCAAACTATTCTATTAAACTGTTCTAGTATGGTTATACATATAACCCGGTCCAATGCACACAAGAGATAGGCACCCGTTTAATCGGACCGACACTGCTTATCGCGACTTCGTCGTCAACTTGACGGTACAACGCGAAGGGATCTCACGAAACGTCACGGTGACGGCCGATGGTTAGCTCCCAATGCATCAGAGAGGGAGGGATATATGTCATAGCCACCCCTTCGTCGCGAAGAAATGTTCCTCGATGCATGACGCGGAGAGAAAAAATATTCACAGTTGTGCTGAGCGCTGGTACCTCACGCTACAACACCGAGCTGATGATAGAAGCAAAGAATTCTAATAATGGAAGTTGTTAACTCATGAATCGGCCCGTAGCCTAGGGGTAACGAGTTTGTCTCGTAAACTTGCGGCGCGGGTTCGAATCCGCGTAAGGGTGGGCGTCCTCGCGGCATACTCAGCCCGCGTGCGACTGGTGGTGATCACACGGCAGCGAAGCGCTGTTACGGCATATAACTGACAAATTATTACTATTTCATTATTATTAACTCATGAACCCAACACTTATCTCATGTTAAGCCTCCAACTCCAGCCGGAAAAGCATCCGATCATAGAGTATGATCGGATGCCCTCTCGACTGATAGAAAGTAGTCTATCTGGGTCCACAGCCATGATAAGTATCAAAGGCTTCCTTCTTTCTGACCAGTCCATTACAGAGAGCGGTCAGAAGCAGAAAGCTCTACTGATACGTGTCCGAGCCATCAGCTAGTGGGTAGTATATTGAGCGACCCGATAAACACACATTCCCGCTCTCCAATCCCTGTAAGGGTGGTGGACGAAAAGTCAAAGTAGTACGGATATCACACCAGTCGCTAGCAGAAATAGGCTGCCATAAACCTCGGACTGGAGTTTTGGCTGTTGCTTGGGTGACAGAAGCAGGACTATGGCTAAAAAGCGGAGAAACCACACCGGAAACAGAATCAAGGCAATGAAAGTGATGAACTACTCGTTCAAGGATTGCGCTTTAATTCACGCTCGCTCAGTTGCATTTTCGTTCACATGTTCTTGCTTTCCCTGCCTTCGTTTCCTTTAAATTTGTAAGTCACCACTATTGCGATGCGAAATTTTGTAATCATACGTCCAGAGAACTTCGATGCCCAGACCATGGCAGACCAACAAGGATGTATAGGAATTAGGGTGTGAAATTCAGCTATCAACTAGGCATCCTAGTGGGTTGTTTGACTTACAGCCGAGGGTGAAACAGATGTAAACACCGATATAAATAAAGTATAGTCGTAGGACAGGATAAAAATAGACCAGCTAGTGCGTATCACTGCACATCACGGGGGTCCGGAAGTTGCGAGCAGAAAGAAGAGAGACCAAGTGTTGACGAGGGAGGAATGAAATTGGCGCATTGTGCTAGTTCATAAATAATATAATAATAGTAAGAGGATAAGTCATGATCAATGCTATCAAAAAAGAAGCTTACGTAGTACAGGGGACGGTACTAAACGGAATGTGCTTTAGTGATCGGGGAAATGCGGCGAACAGTTTGGAACGACAATTGAAAAACGACAAGTCAGTAAATAAAGAAATAAATAGATGGGGAAATAACCCCAATAAGTTAGTGAACAAATAAACAAATAAATAGGCGGAAAGTAACTCAAATGCATTGTGGTTCGGTACAGACACCGCATTTCATAAGATACAATCGGAGTATTGGCGAATAAGTGTTGACAACTGAGGAACGACCGGAGGTAAATCAATCTGGAAAAGTGGATACTGGAAGAGGCCGATCTCCGGGGATCATGTGGAGTACAACACAAAATGATATGAGTGCTTTGTGAGTGAATAAGATGGAAAAGGTTCGCATCAATCAGAGAGGAAAGAGATGGCGATCGCAGACGGAGTTGTCGTGGCAGTGCGCAATCAAACCGGCTCACCGCCTGCACCGACCATTACGCCAGTGGTACTTGCTGCAGAGGGAGCCTGTCCAGGTGGGTAGGATAACTTTTCCAGATCTGAGAGGTAGCCTTCGGGGACTAGTAAATGAGTACCACCCACGATTACGTCCCATTGTTTTCCGGAGGTGGTGTTCATTACCTCATATGCACAGCGCATTTCAGAGTAAGAAACGCCACCAATAATGAAAAAGATCAGTCTAGGGCCGCATCGCGGTTGTTGGCTCTTGTCTCGGTGCCAAAGGCCATAACGAGCAGACATTGATGCAGTTCCGCCACGAGCTCCAGGACCACGAACAGGACCACCACCAAAGCAGGGGAAAACTTTGGGGTCCAACTTGTCATCGCACGCATCCTAAATGAGAGGATAGTAAAAAACAGTAAACATCCGAAACAAACGTGATTTACTCGGAAAACCAAGCAACACCCTAACAGTCGACACGAGGTACAAGCATTCTGATATACTGCAAATACTGATGGGTGCTCACGTTCCGTGCAGCTCATTGCTGGAATAACTTCGCCGGTAGACAAACCTCAATGACAATTCTCCTCAAAGTGTCAACTACAAGCAGCCGGTAAACCATGCATAATTATGGGCCGTTGCAAAGCAGTCGAGTTTCAATGGGGCGAGACGGTCAACTAGTGTTTTTCCGGATGAGTTGCAGTATTGTTGGGAGATATATGCGATGAACAATTTTTAGGTTCGGAAAAAAATCATGAGAGAAATGACTATTATTGACTCTCATAGTTTCATAAATAAATGAGATACCGTAACGAACACCAAGCTATCTGCATATAAACCGCAGATCAACAACTGACAGGACAGCTAAGCATGGCTGTAGAACATTAAAAGTTAAAACGAAAAAAGCAGACTACTTTACAAGAGATGGCAGAATTAACCAGCCTCAGATGCGTAAATGCCAATGATAGCTGGATCAGAAATTTGCCCAATAGGCCACTCAGTGGTGTTGAATGGCAAATCCCTATTGAGGGATCAGACTGCAACTTTAGATGCTGGACCTACGGTAATACTTGCCGGATTTGAAAATGCCTTACAATTCAACGATCTTGATGGAGAAATGAAAACGCAATTAAGGCATGTCGGCATTACAATCCTAACAAGGAAATTGTAATTTTGTCCACGGACAACCGGCGTACGATTGTTATAGTGAAACAGATTACATTGAAAAGGCAAGGAATCCCCTGGGAGAAGTAACAATGTATCGGAAGATAAAGAACGACCCGACAGTACAATTAACAAATGAATTGAATCAAATCACAGAGGAGGGGGATAGAACGAAAGCTCGTCACTCAAATACCGCGCAATTCTACGAATACAAAAATAGTGCACGGTAATGAGCAATCGTGTCGATTCAGCTACACTAACCTAGGACTTGGGGGCACCTGCTCGTCGGGCCGGAGTATTTCATAAACAATAGTTGAGTAAATTCGAAGAGTTACGAAAAGACCATAAAAACAATGGTCTCTTTCGACGTCACTGCCCTATTCATTTTTGTCAACTCGCATTCGGTGAAAACATCAGAGAACTTCTGAATGGTGACGAACCATTGTAACGAGACTAGACCTTAAGGTGATGCGACGGTTTGCGTACCTCGTCGACCCATTGAGCTATACTGGGTGGTGTCCTCGGGCCCCTTGAGAGCTATTCTTATCAGGTTGGTCAAGGGTTAGAGGTTAGACAAATTCACTCACCTGTTCCTCTAGGTTGGGGGTTTGAAATGGGATGGAGTCCATTTCTGTAAAACTAAATCATCGCCAACTACCCGCTGCCTTGCGGACAGGCTTTGGTTGAGGACCCTAATCGTCCTCCTGTCTAGGTCTGGGTGCCCTGGCAGTATCTCAGCCCACATACAACGATGACATTTTTCCAAACATAAACTTCATCCTACATCGGCCGTCGCGCAGATTATCAAGGGTCGCCTTATCTGCTGCATACAGCAGGGAGGATAAGCGAAAACATGCTATTGCTGGCGCCTCCCTTCTTTCTTTTCCACCTGTTTCTCTTACTCTCATCTCGAGCTCCATTGTAAACCTTCATTCTATAATTCCCAGCTTAATTGACAGCAACCGAAGTGCCACTGGAGTTGAACCATCTGAAGCTATCCGCAGCACCCACTGGACGCCTATCGGCAATAGTCACTTATAAAGCCATGCTACCCCGTTTCGTTGGCGGCGTACAATGTGCGCACACTAAGACAAATAGGTCAACAGGCTGCACTCGCACGCAAGTCCGGTACACTGGGTATTTAGGTGTGCTGTGTGTCCGAACCTAGGGTCAATGATCCTAACGGGGTTGTTGAACAAACTGCGCCCGGCTTGTCCTCTCGCTATTGGTTGCGCGCATCCGGAGACTGATGCAGCAGCCTCTGGTCAAACTGGGGTAAATATCGCACTCAGCTCCAAAGCTGAATCATCGTTGGTTGACTGGATTCCGGTGAATAGCCGTTTGTGTGCAGGCCGTTTGACAACATTGACCAAGGTTGATTCAAGAAATAGTACAAGACGCCGTTTGTGTGTGGTTTCCGCTTATGCTCCCACCGACTACAGCTCCAATGCTGCAAAGGACACATACTACAACGAACTGAACACGCCACTACACAGTGCTAACTGTTCAGATATCATAGTATTGCATGGGATATGAATACACAAGTAAGTCGCCTGGGCTTCCCAGAAGCCCAGCTACGTGGTAATTATGGACTTAACTCACAACGCGCGGACAACGGTGAGCGTTTTTTGTAACGGTGTATGGAGCACCAGCTGCTTCTTAGTAGCCTTGCTTTCAGACAAAGTAAGCGCCGAAGTGCCACTTGGCGTCCTCCTGTAGTTGGCAAGGAATGGACCAAAATAGATCACATTGTCATAAGTTAAAAGTTGGCGTGATTCCATCTTGGATTGCCGCTCACACTGGAGTATTTGCGTCGACGCTGATCCTGCCCATGAACTTTACCGGGAGGCGCACGGCCTGGTGCGTCTCCCTCGATTGGCAACCGAGAAATTATCCCAGCCCTAAGTCAGGCAAGCCTACCAAGATGCACTGCATACAGAACTTTCGCTTCCTTGTCTTAATGACACTGAGCTTCAGTGGAATAGAATCTCAGTCGCAATGCACAACGCAGGAGCATCCGCTTGTGGCACTATCAATCGTCACCGCACCAGTCACTGGATATCTGAAAGGTGAGTGAACCAGTTGGAATCCAGAAGAAACTTCCGGCTGGTTCTGAGCACAATATGACCAGAAGGAACAATTAGGCGCGAACTAAAGCGGAGCCTGTGAGTTGACAAGGGGGCCTGGTGGACCAATCAGGCTTAAGAAATGGAGGCGAGAGCAGTAGGCAAATGCCGCAAACATTTCCAGCTGATCCACACCACTGGTCCCAGGAAATCAGGCTTCAGTGAGACCATCAGAGACAGCACGGGTGAGCTGATACACAATAAGGAGCGCCGTATGGCTCGCTGGGCGGAACACTTTCAAGATCAATTCAGCTGGCCCCCTGCTCCCGGACCTCTTCCTACTCAGGTGATGCGGGGTGAGGCATGGACGGTTAGTTTAGAGCCTCCGTCGGAGGCCGAAGTCTGAAGCGCGATCACATACCGTAATCGTTTTCGTGCTACCGGCCCGGATTCCCTCCCACCTGCACTATTTAAGGATGGAGGTGAGGTCCTCTGCAAAGCACTGACTTCCCTATTCGAACATATCCAGAAGGAAGTGTCCAGGTTAATTGGAGTGAATTGATTATAGTCGCAATATACATAAAGGGCAATCGTGCAAACTGTGCTGACTACAGGGGTATTAGCCTAACGCCAGTTGTGACAAAATTACTGGCCTCGATAATCGTTCGTCGCCTCACTGTGAAACGGGAATCCCGGATTAGAGAAGAGAGGGCAGATTTCCGCCCAGGACGTGGCTGTATATACTATTTATCCCCTCTGCGGCAGGTGCTAGAGCAGCGCCATGCATACCGCAAACCAACAATAGCTGTGTTCCTCGGTTTCAAGAGTGCGTTCGATTCAGTTGACCGATGCATTCTGTTCGAAATACTTGCGCGGAGAGGTGTTCCCACGAAATATGTGAACATTTTACATGCTCTGCATTCGAACACAACTAGTCGTGTCAGGGTTTACGGTGATTTGTCAGATGCGTTTCCGACAACAAGTGGCGTCCGTCAGAGTTGTGCAATTTCCCAGTTTTTGATCAATTTCGTCCTGAACTCCATCATGGAGTGTTCTCTTGCGGAGGCTCAAGATGCAGGCGTTAATGTGCTGCCTGGTGAAAGGCTAAATGATCTTGATTATGCGGACGATATCGTCTTGTTGTGTAATGATGTTGGGGTGGCATAGTCAATTCAGAATAACCTCTCTGGAGTGGTGCCATTATTTGGTGTGCGTTTTGCACCTGCAAAGCGTTGATGCAGGACTACCAGCCACCTGACGCTAGATCGTGAGGTTGTTGATCAATTCTCCTACATTGGCAGCTGCATCAGCAACGATGGGCGCATAGAAACTGAAGTCACTTCTCGCATCACATAAGTCAGAACTGCCTTCTAGAATCGGCGACATCTAGGGCGACAGAAAAGAGTTGCTCTGGGTGTGAAAGGTCGTGTTTACAAGGCCACAATGAGGGCCGTCCTACCCTATGGAAGTGAGACTTGGCCTCTTCCGTCCGAGGGTCTGAGACGCCTTCAAGTCTTTGATCATCACTGTCTGCGGAGCATTGCTGGCGTCGGGTGGCACCAGCGTGTACGCAACGATGATGCGCGTAGGCGAGTACTAGGCAGTGATAGCCAAGCTAGTTCCTTAGAACAACAGATAGCACTGAATAAGTTGCGTTGGCTTAGGCACTTACTACGTATGGCCGGTCACCGCTTAGCGAGGAGGACCCTGTTCTGTCTGCCGGATGTAGGGTGGCGCAAGGCTCGAAGTGGACAGAAGTTGACTTGGCAGTGGAAATGAAGTCACTGACAAGCCAACTTGGTTCCGTCGGTCCGTCTCGCATTCCAGGCTAAAGTCCACGTAACTCGCCTAGTGTTTGACTCGAAACTTTACTAGTGGCGCGTCTGCTGCCGTTTCCTAGTCGGGCTGCCTGTTTAACATTTTGTGCTGAAGTATCTGCAAGGTAATGGCTGATTATGACGCGGGGAAGAGAAAACTGTAAGGAAGCTTTGTCGCCGATGCCGCGTCATCTTTGCACGATTGCCAGCTGTTTGTGATGGCATGTTGTTGACAAAGCGCAGGCGCCTTGACTCTGAATGTCTGCTCACGGCATTAAGAGTTACCGGTAAGTCCTCCGTCTTTCCCTCTTATTATCCTTCGTACCATAGGTCGTAAAGGTTGTAT